GCTCACAGCCTTGCCCCTCTCGCAGGAACAAGAGGAGGATCATGCGCATCTTCACCCTGCCCCCGGCCGCCGAGACGCCGCCCGAGCCCAACTTCTACGACAGCGTGAAGAAGATCCGCCTGCGGCAGCAGCTGGAGATGTACTCCATCGGTAAGTCGAAGGAAAGAGGGGGCTCCCCTGGGCCTGTGGGTTACTGGGGACGGTTCCTGCGGGAGCGGCATTTAGCCTGCCTGTCCTCGTGTGGTGGGGACACCATGGCACCGTGTGAGCAGAGGTTCTGCGGCAGCGCGGGTCACAGGGTTGAGGCGCGAGGAAGCACAGAGTGAGGGAGTGGCCGTGCGATCTCTTCTGGGGGCCAAAACAAATCCGGTGTTGAAGTTAAAAGGAGCTGGGAATGTCTGAATATCGTCAAAATGTAGATGGATTTGTACAAGTTGAGAGGACTCTGGAATCATGAGTAATGCGACTTCATAAACTGGAAATAAATGAGAATTTGACTGTTCCAACAAGTGTTGCCACTCCTATCTTAATGTTGAAGGTCAGGATGGAGGTAGGAAAGAGCCCCCGTGCCTTTGATATTCCAGAGGTCCAATTCAGAGAAACACCTGTACTTGCTTCACATCTGCCATAAACGCATACCTAGAGGGAATATGGGCAAGAAATACTTAATGAGTTGAAACCACCTTTTAAATGTAAAGATTTAATGTAAGGATTTTTAAACCAGGCCATTGCATTCTGAAGGAACAAAAAAGGATGTGCTTCCTACAGCAGAATGCCTGCTGGCATTCATTGTTGGTGTTTGTTCCACCGCACACAACTCTTTGATCTCCCTCTGCCTTGCTAACCAGATTAATTTTGAAGTCAGTGTAGTTGTTAGCTTGTGGCTTGTATGTTGTGGAGGAGATGAGTGATGTGAAGGTCAACCGTGTGACTAATGAGTCATTCAGGTCATCTGTAATAGTACTTCTGAAGCCATAGTCTTTAATTTTTTTATTTTTTTTTTTAATGAAAGGAACTGAATGGAATCATAGTTCTCTGTCATTAATTCACTGGCATTTTGCTGTGGCCCTACTGTTCAGTCTTTCCAAGGCCATACGCTAAAGGACTAGTTCTGTGCAGTGACTGAAGCTTCCCCTTGTGTGGCCAAGTGGTGAAATTATATTCTTTAATCTTAAGTCTATTTCTTGATTGTTGTCATATTTATACGTATGTGTATATATATGGATATGTATATATGCACACATACATACACGTATATAATAAATGGTATAATCTGCATTGATCAGTGTTTCTTTTTTTCAGCAAGGAAGTATGAACAGCAACAGCAGCAGCAGCCACCAAAACAGACTGAAAGCGTACAGCTCTCAGTGGAATGAAGCCCAGAACTGCAGGAACTCAGGATATATTTCCAGTGCTGATAAGAGTCAGTGTGGAGCTATTTTCAACGTCTCTTAATCAATACATAGCTGAAGGCAAGGGGCAAAGGAAGGGGACTCTCCTAAAAAACTTTGTTCTCGGTAGCTTTTCTCTGAGCCCTGTGAAGTAAATGAGTGCCCACTGAAACATTCAGCATGAAAGAACCCAACACAGGACAGACCTGCACAGAGAAACCTCTGAAGGTACAGAAGTGCAGTCTTACCAATGGTTTAAATTATTTCTCTCTCTGCTGGCACCTTGGAAGTCAGCTCCTACCTTCTCTGGTAACGGCGGCCTAGAGAAAGCATGGCAGTACCTATCTGCCTGGAAACCCTTTTGTTCCTTGATCACGTGTTGTTGAATTTGCTGAATGTGTTCAGTACACGTGAGTGAAGATACTGTGGCCTTACTGCCTAGCGCAGGTGAACAGCTTTGAGAGCCCCGAGTGTTGCTGGTGGTAGTCGTGCAGGAAGATTCTGCTCTCTGTGTTGATACAGAGGTTGCTTATGCAATACTGTGAACCTTTCCTGGAGAAACTTTGAGAAGTACACAGTGAATTGCATGTCTAGAAGACACTTAAAACAAATACTGTACTGTTAATAGCAAAGGTGATTAGCTTAATTTAGTCAAATTGCTTTAAAGAATGGGATTGCCTATAAAAATTGGTATAAATGGGAAGATCATGGCTTATCCGGAAAAGACATCACACCTCAGTTGCTTTTTTTTTTTTCTTTCTAGGTAAATCACAAAATCAACTAATTTAAATAATACTGCAGAAATTACTTCTTAATAAAAGCATCTAATCATGAAAACTACTTGGAGATGTATTGTGCTGTAATTCCTAATGTTACATGACTTGAGCAGGCCGAGTGGTGAGCAGATTTCTAACAGCAGAGCACTGAGCGTGTTTGCCCAGAAAGAGGGGTTTTTTTCCCCAATTCTGTGCTAAAATATATTAAGCCTTGGAGCAGTGGTAAACAGCACTGCAGTTCCATTCAGATATGAGGAACCTTGTTCACCTAATCTTTATTGGACTGAAATTATCTGTACTTGAGTGCCCGCAGGGACAGTAAGACGTGACCTGGGCCGTGCTGAGCGCGGCAGGAGACGGCTCGGCAGCCCCGGGAAAAGGGCTCGTTTGGGTGAAGCCTTAACATCCGTGCGAGGGCCCCTTTTGGCAGCTTCCCCGCGTGTGACGGAGGTAAACACAGGCGTAGCTCAGCGGGGCCGAGGGCCGGCGGGAGGAAGCGCCGATCCCACGCAGCGACGGGGAGGAGGGACAGAGCGCGGGGGATGCGGGAACCCCCGGGCCTGCCTTGCAGCTCGGCCGCGCTG